AAGTGGAACTACATTCATCCCCTCTGATCCAAGAGCAGCCAAACACCAAAGAACTGGGGGCCGGCTGAGCCGGGAGAGCAAGCTGGGGCACTTCAGAGGGAGCCTCCATCGAATGGCCAGAGCATTGCTCTCGAACACCAAGCTCTGCTGAAAAGACCACAGAATGGCTGCTACAGCAAGAGAAGGAAACAGATGGACACAGCTGGGGCGCACTTGCCACCCTCTGCCTACCTGCCCCACCGGGAGCACCTCAAGGGCCAAATGATGGGCAGACCCTCACTTCTTGCTGACAGAAAAGCTAAGAACTGGATACTCTGCCTCATTCACTCGGACTGCACATAACTGGTGTAGTTTTTCCTTATTTAATTTTCTGTTTTTATTTTTGCTAGGCAATGGCGTTAAGTGACTTGCCCAGGGTCACACAGCTAGTGGACCTCCTGACGCCAGGGCCAGCGCTCTATCCAATGTGCCACCTACTTGCCCCTCATTATTTAATTTTTAAGAAAACTGTTTTACTAGTGTTTTATCTAGAAATAATCTAGCAGGAGTTTACTCATGCTGTATTCTTTCCAAGAAACGTGCTTTAGGATGACAATTATTTGAGATGTTTATTGTTCAGTTTCATGCTAGACTACACAGAAGTTGGAGCATTCTTATTCCTCATTCAGGAGGTTTTGTGTGAGGGCATCTTAGTCCACCGGACTGGTAAATGGACACAGCACGAATGCTCATGTGACATAAACCCTCATCTGACGGCTGAATAAAAAATACAACCCCATCCACCCACCCAAAATAGCCACATCAGTGCAAAAGGCCAGACAAAGGAGAATCTGAAACAATGGAATTCAGTAACATAAACCTAAGTTCCTTAGGAAAAATTCTCTATTTGCTAAAAACTGCTGGGAGAACTAGAAAGCAGTCTGGCTGAAACTGGGCTTAGGTCACCTCACACCACACTCCACTCAGAGAGGGGGAACCTGCGATGTGGCCCTCTAGGTCCTCAAGTTTGGCCCACATGTTACCTACTAGCTGTGTGACCCTGGGCAAGTCACTTCGCCCCACTGCCTCACCAAGATATTCACAGCCACAAGAAGAATGCTCCAAATTGTTAGTGCTATAAGAAATAAAAATCAAAACCATCCTGAAGTTTCACCTCATACCCTGCAATTGGTAAAACTGACAAAAAATGGTAACGATCAGTATTGGTTGGGAGGTGGTAAGAAGACAGGCAATAAAACAAAAGATAAAAGAATTTTCCAGAGGAAGAGAATCTGCTTTGATGGATGCTAAGGATGCAAATTAGGGGAGGTGAAGGGGGGAGGGCATTCCAGGCCCTGTGGACAATGCAGTGGCATGTAAGCAGAATGGACACGAGATCAGTTTTACTGGACCAGACCTGTGGAAAACAGACTGTGGAGGGCTTCACATTCTGGCTTGAGGACCTTGGGTTTCATCCTAGAGGACCCACTGAAAGTTTGTGAGTGTGTGTGTGTGTTGTGTGGTGGGGACACAGTCATCCTCCATGAGGAATGCCAGGCTGTCAGGGGACACAAGTGATTCCAGGTCTACCCACGGACTGACTCTCCTGTGTACCGAGAAGTTCCTATGTACTCAACACCTGGTTTAGTCAGCTTCATTTAGGTGAGGAAGCAAAGCTCCACTGACCATAATCAGATAAGCAAACTGCAGTTAATTCTGGTAGACAAGATTGTCCAACTTTCCAACCCCGATGCTTCTGCAGCTGAGAAGGGTCATGGTCAAGTCCACTTGCTGACCGAGTCCCTGAGAACCTGCCCAGAAACAACAAAAACAGAGATCTGGGCTCTGCCCTGGGGACACAGTCTACCATCCACCTTCAGCACGGTGGGACCACAGGGTGGCGCAGGCGCAGGCTCATGCCGGCACATCCAGGAGGAATCACCTGCCTGACCCATGTCCCTGAGTGCTTGGGTTCTTGCCTCACCCGTGGCTTCAATGTGGCCTCTATGCCAAGGATGGAGACACTGAAGCATGGAGGCCAAGGCTAGGCAAGAGAGTATGAGGGTCTGAACCAAGCATGGTTAGCAAAGAAGAAATGGGATAGAGGCAGAAAAAACAAGACTTGGGAATGGATTTGTTATCGGGTGGGGCCTGGGCCAGATCAAAGAGTCTGGGAAAACTCTGAGCTTGTGAACCGGGGTTCCTGGAAAGAGGGGGATTGTCCTCTGCAGAACGGGCTGGTTACGGGGGAAAAGAGAGTGTAGCTCCCTTTGGTTTTAAATCTTCTTTCTCTCATGAACGTGACAAACTTCAACAAACACAAACATTTCCACATGCAAAGAGAGGAGAAAGAGAGCACTGCAGAGGAAGCTGTGAAAGCCTGTGATGCACCGCTCGGCTCTCCGCAGTGTATATTAAAGGTGATATGACAACACCAGCGCTGACCTCCCCGTCCGCCAGGGTGCACTGGCTCCAGAGGGCTGACTGGGACACATCCAGGGCGAGTGCATTAGGTCACAGAAATCAGCAACTGCTACAAATGAGGCCCTGATTGAGCATTCTGATTGCTGGCACTTCAGTGAGGAGCCAAGTAAACCATGCAGAGCGAGCAGCCCTGCTGTGCGCTCTCCTGAACTCCCTCCTGCTCTTCTGTATTTCTTCCAGGGTCATTGATGCTCTTTTCTTTCTTTTGGTGACATCTCCCCAGCCCTCGGGGGTCCCACCTTTCTGACAGCGTCTGTACATTCTCCCACCTCGCTGACCTGGGGACTGTGCAGAGCCACTAAGGTCCCCTGGAGTCATGGCAGGCACGTCACCAAGTCTTCCCAAGGCGTTCCCTTCACATTCTGGTGCTGGCTGTGAGCACTGCTCCTCGGTTCTGAACCTCACTCTGCATCAGGTCAGACAAGCTTTGCAGATTTCCCTTACATCACCCTTCTACTCCCTGTGATGCATGAACCATCATCTTTGCAGGTGTTCTCCAATCGGCGGGCACCTTTGTTTCCACTTCCTTGTTTTCTATGCTGCTCGTTTCCTGTTTTTGCCTCAAAGACGTTACCCAGCTTTGGTAACCAAAGGGTCAGCGTCACCTTGCCCAACTGGAATGGAGGCTCCCAGAGGAGCCTTTGTTCATCCCTTCATTCAGTGGTAGGAGCTGTCCGGCAATACCCTCTGGGAGGGCCAGGAAGTGGTCCAAAGTTCTGGTTTTCAAATACATTATTCCCAATGCAAAGGAAAAGTGACTCAACTGTCCTACTCTTGGACCCAGTGACTCCAACATGGAGCACGGACACCCAGGAAGTCAAAGGCAGATCCAAAGTTCCAATATGTACCACCACATGCTTACCCCACATCCTTGCGGTAGCAAAACACTAGAAACCAAGGTGGGGACCATTCATCAAGGAATGGTCAAAGCTCAGCCTAATGGGGAAGACAACAGGTAAGCGACTGTGTACAAACCAGCTATACACAGGAAAAGGCAGGAGTTGAGTCCTTAAACGTGACTGGCATCAGTAATAGAGATAGCTTACGCTCCACACACCCAAATTGTCATCTTCCCCCAAACACCTCCCCCTTCCAGCCTTGACTCCTCCTAACTGAAGGCACCACCACCTTCCCCATCTCCTGCGTTTGGAACCTCAGCACATCCCAGGACTCCTTGTCTCCCCCAGCCCCCACATCCAGTCACTTGCTGTTTCTACCTCTGACATCCTTCACATCTGACTCCACAATCCGGCTGAACTGGCCCTCCTCCCACATAACACTCCATCCCTCTACTCTGGCTGGTCCACATGCCTGGAATGAATTTCCTCCTTACCGCTGCCTCAGAAAATTCCTCTCCTATAAAATGAAACTCAAGCACCATTTTCTTCATGAAGCCTTTCCTAATCCCCTAATGGCTGCTGCCCTCTCTCCCAAATTACCGGTTTGTATAGATTTGTATTTCTTCACACTAGATGCTGTCTGTATTTTCACATGTCCTTCTCTTCTTTCCCATGTGAAAGCAGGGTTATTAAAAGGAGGAAATGTTTTGTTCTTTGCGCCTGTATTCTCAGGTGTGCCTAGCACACAGTAGGTGCTTCAACTTGCTGACTGATTGAAACTGAATAAATGGCAGCTAAGAATGAACTAAATGCAAGCAAAGATAGAAGAGAGCGCTCCCTGCTCTCCTGAGGCCTGACAAACAGGGCACAGAGGCCTGCAAAATCACCCGGCGCACACCTCTCCCCAAGTCTGCAGGCCCGGAGGAGCCGCTCCCAGTCAGACCCCAGCAACACTAGCTCACACACTGCTGGTGGCGCCTCACTCACCCACACGGTGGCTGCTCCCTGGGACATCTCCCTCTGGCACCCATGGTGCTTCACCTGCTCCAGCCGGGCGATCACCTCCGGTGTGGAAACTGCAAGTCCTGTTCATGGGAAATGGGAAAGAGCCCCACAGGTAGCTCACAATCAGTCCCACCTGCCTCTCTGCTGGACACCATGGCCCTGTACCAAAGGCCCAGAGGGCGCCGGGAGGATGATGGTGAGGACAAGGCCCATCAACTCTGAAGGAGACACTGAACTGGGTTACTCAGAAGTATGGGAAAATGTGCCACAGAACGGATTTGGGTTCAGAAAAGAAATGAGCACATGGGACAAACAGAGGAAAATTGTCACTACTCCAGGTGATGCCTTGTGGACAGGGAGCAGCTCTGGGGCAGTGCCCCAGGGTGAACAGGATGCCAGCAGAGCACCATGACCAGAAAATGCCATCCAGTGTCTCCGCCCTGCAGCCCTCAGGCTACAGGACTGTGCACAGCTCACTAGCTCTCTGTCCTCGAGGCAAATCATCCCCTTTACAATGAGGCCTTCAAGGCCCCTTCCAGTTACAAATCTATGAGCCTGTGTTTCTCTCCAGTGACCAACCTCTTATTTCTCTGGGCCAAATAACCATTACTTGGTGCTCAAGAGTCTCACTGAGCTTTACCTTTAAGGAGAGGTGGCAAGGACAGAACGTGGGTCCCAAGGGAGCCTCCTTACCCAGGCAGACCAGGTTCCAATAGTTCTCCAGCATGACCTCCCGGTAAAGCTCCTTCTGGTCAGGGCCCAGGAGTCCCCACTCCTCCTGGGTGAAGTCCACGGCCACATCCCTGAAGGTCACTGACTCCTGAAAGGACATAAACAGTTGTGCTTACCCAAGGATTATTCCCACGATGGAGGTGGGAGGAAAGGGAAACTGGCAGGGGTTATGGGAGTGATTCTCACCCAATCCACGCATCCAAGAAAGCCAAGTCTGACACTGGACAAGTTCCTAAGGTGTGCCTAGCATTGTAGTAAGCACCAGGGCCACAAAGACACATAGTGTCTGCCCTCAAGGAGATCACCTTGGGGCAGCCCGCATATAAACCACTACGTACAGACAAGATGTAGAAAGTATAAGTGCAGGTAATCTCAGAGGGGAGGCATTACGCATTGAGGAGAGAGGGGAACTGGGGTGGGAAAGCCTCCTGCAAAACTGGGAATGAGAAACGAGGGGACAGGTGGGTGGCACAGTGGATAGAGCTCCAGCCTTGGAGTCAGGACGACCCGAGTTCAAATCTGGCCTCAGACACTTGACACTTACTAGCTGTGTGACTTGGGCAAGTCACTTAACTCCAACCACCTCACCAAAAAAAAAAAAAAAGAGAAATGAGCTAAGTCTTGAAGGAGGGCAGGCAGACCAGGAGGCTGAGATGAGGGGGGAGGTGAGGAAATGGGGGGAAAGAGGGAGGTGAGGACAGATGGGGGAGAGAGGGAGGTGAGGAGATGAGGAGGGAGAGAGGGAGGTGAGGAGATGAGGAGAGAGAGAGAAGTAGGTGAGGAGATGAGGAGGGAGAGAAGTAGGTGAGAAGATGAGGAGGGAGAGAAGTAGGTGAGGAGATGAGGGGGGAAAGAGCTCCAGGAACTGACTTAGGAGACAGAGCACTCAAGGAACAGCAAGGGGGCCCCAAGACCCCCAAAGTAAGTGGGCAAGGCCAAAGAGAGGTCAGAGAGGCAGGAGGAGAAGCAGGAGAAAACAGTGTCCGTGAACAGAAGAGAAGAAAAGGAGACAGATGGTATTAAAAACTGCAGAGAGGCTGAGTCTGAGATACCCCTGGCACATCTAGTTTGAAATATCCAATAGGCCTTTGGTGATACAAACTGGTGCCTAGCAGAACAGAACTAGCCCACGCAGTGCATGTCCTCTGACTCAGTAATATCCCAAAGAAACTCAAAAAAAGAAAAACGACCTATTTGTACAAAAATATTTATAGCAGCTCTTTTTGTAGTGGCCAAGAATTGGAAATCAAAGGGATGCCCATCCGTTGGGGAATGGCTGAACAAGTTGGTTTGTGATTATGACAGAATATTATTGTGCTGTAGGAAATGACAAGCAAGATGATTTCTGAAAAACCTGGAAAGACTTGCAAGAACTGATGTGGAGTACAGTGAACAGAACCAGAACACTGTACATGGTAACAACAACAAATTGGGAATGACTCAGCTCTTCTCAGCAACACAATGATCCAAGACAATCCCAAGGAACTCGTGATGAAGCCAAGTATCTGTCTCCAGAGAAAGAACCGACGTTGTTTGAATACAGACTGAGGAGTGCTATTTGTCACTTTCTTTCCTTCATTTTTTTTCATTTTATTCGAGTCTTCTTATACAAAATGACTAATATGGAAATGTTATACATAACTGTACATGCATAACCTATATCCGATTGCTTACTGTCCTAGGGAAAGGAGAGAAGAGGGGAGGAAAGAATAGAATTTAGACCTCAAAACTTTAAATAAAAATGTTTAAAATTGAAAGAAAAAAAAGAACTAGGCCTACAGATGTGGGAGTCATCTGCGTGGAGATGGCCAATGAGGTCACAAGAATGGCTCAGTGGACAGAGTGCTGCATGGGCCTGGGCCAGCCACTCAGCTTCCCTCAGCTGTAAAACGAGGTTAATAAGAGGACAACAGTTACAGGGCTTTCTTCTCTCAAAGCGAGCACGATCCCAGGTTAACATCCCAGCTGATATCCTCACGGGACAAGTGGAGAGGGATTTCCACGGTCTGGGATGCTCAGTGTGTACCAGGTTTCTGCCTGAGATGGGAAGCCCATTTTCTCTGCCTTTGTCTTTTCTTTTGTCATGGATTAGGAAAGGATGTTTGCGCACCAAATGAAGCACCTAGTGAGTCCTGAGCAGGGAGTGATCTTTCGCAAATTTTGTGAAATGTTCCTCATTCTGTGAATCTGCAGAACTCTGTATGTGGGGATTGTGATTTTTGTTTGTTGCTACATCATGCAACAGTTGTAAGACTTTTCCTGAGGCATGAGGGGACGGCAGGGACAAGTGAGGGTCTTCAGCATGACAGAGACCTGGGCTTACATGCAGCTGGTGGGGAAGATATCACCAGCTGAGGAGAGACAGATGATGACACAGAGAAGAGAAATGACTGAGGGAGCAAGCTCCTGGAAGAGATGGGAAGAGTTAGATCAAGAGTACGAGGGGATAGCCTCTGCAAGGAAAGAGCTACTTCAGAAAAACCTGGGAAGACTTATATGGTCTGATGCTGAGTGAAGTGAGCAGAACCAAGGGGACTTTGTACACAATAGCAGCCATGTTATGCAATGACTAAGAATGTTAAACTGAACGCTTCTCAGCATTACGAGGATCTAAGACATCTCCAGAGGCCTCAGGATGGAAAATGCTGTCTACACCCAAAGAAAGAACTATGGAAGTTGAATCACTCTCACTTATTTTTACCTTCTGTTGAGTTTTGTTTCCTCTTTCTGATGGTTCCTCCTATTGGTTTTAATTTTTACTTACAACTTCACTAATGTGAAAATATGTTTAATGGGTATGTAAATGTAAAGCCTATGTCAGATTGTGCGCCGTCTTGGGGAGGGTGGGGGGAGAAAAAGGGAGAAAAATTTTCAACTCAAAAGCATATGGAAAAAAAAATTTAAAAATAAAAATTTTTTTAAAAAAAAGAAAGAGCTACTTCTTGGACAAGGCCAAGTAAAGGAGGAGAGTGTGGGGGGCAGGGAAGATAAAGATAAAGGGCTCTGGAGCATAAAAGTGGAGAGAAAAGGAGGCTCCTCGTGCAGAGACTGTTTCCTGGTTCAGTCAGTCAGCATTTATAAAGAGCCTACTATGTGTCAAGGCCTGTGCTAAGTGCTGGGAATTCAAAAAGAGATGAGAGGAGCTCACAATCTAACAGGGGAGACAACATGCAAACAAATATGTGCAGGATAATTAGGAAACAAGTGAAAGGGAAAGCACAAGAATTAAGAGGAATTGGGAAAAGCGTCCTGTGGAAGGTGGGATTTTAGGGGGGACTCGAAGGAAGCCAGGGAAGCCGGAAGGCAGAGATGGGGAGGAAGAGTATTCTAGGTGTCACGACATGTGGAGGTGCCCCATTTCCCGGAACAAAGGCCCAGCAAGCAGGCTGTGCCCAGAGCTCAGCATAACAACAACTCTTTGCGCTCTGGATGATCTCACCCCAGGTGCTTAGCGCCCTGTTTCCCAGACAGCTGAGAGCCAGCCATTACCTTGCCTGACTTGCTCCTGATCCGTTCCCTGTATGAGCTAAGTGAACCAAACCCAGCAATGTACCCCACGGTGAGACAATCAACTCAGAGGCTATTCCCGCAGGACCCAAGAATGCCTGCACCATCCACGAAAGAGCCTGACCTAAGAGTGACTGTGGCATGGTCCAGTCTGGATTACATTCAAAAATCTGTTGACACAGGAATGGGGGCTGCGCAGAGAGAATGCCCAGAGCCAAAAGATAGAGGGTCTTGTTCAAGGGACAACCAGGAGAGGTTACTGGATCAGAGTATGTGTCAGGGAACAAGGAATAAGATCACCAGAAAAGGAGGAAGGGGCTACCAAAGATCACTTTGGTGATTGAATGGAGGACGTACTAGAGTGGGGAGAGACCCGAAGCAGTCAGACCGGCCAGTAGCTATTGCCACAGTCCAGGCATGAGGTGAAGAGGGGGCTGCACCAGGGCTGGGGAAGTGTCAGAGAAGAGAAGGAGGCATACTGGAGATGCTGCAGAGGCGAAAGGGACCAGAGATGCTGCAGAGGCGAAAGGGACCAGAGATGCTGCAGAGGCGAAAGGGACCAGAGATGCTGCAGAGGCGAAAGGGACCAGAGATGCTGCAGAGGCGAAAGGGACCAGAGATGCTGCAGAGGCGAAATGGACCAGAGATGCAGCAGAGGCGAAAGGGATCAGAGATGCTGCAGAGGCGAAAGGGACCAGAGGTGCTGCAGAGGCGAAAGGGACCAGAGGTGCTGCAGAGGCGAAATGGACCAGAGATGCAGCAGAGGTGAAAGGGATCAGAGATGCTGCAGAGGTGAAAGGGACCAGAGGTGCTGCAGAGGCGAAAGGGACCAGAGATGCTGCAGAGGCGAAATGGACCAGAGATGCTGCAGAGGTGAAATCAACGGGCCTTGCCACTAAACTGGATCTGGGGAGTGAGAGAGAGGAGAGTTTAGGATAACTCCAAGGTTATGCAACTGAGGGACCAGGAGGATGGGGGTGCCCTTGACAGTGACTGTGAAGGTGGGACAGAAGAGGGTTTAGGGAGAAAAATCATGGGTTCTGTTTTGGACATGTTTAGTTTAAGATGTCTCCTGAACTCCCAGTTCCAAATGTCTAAAAGGTACTTAGAAATCGGAGGTCAGCAGAGAGCTTAAATCCATGGAGGTTGATGAGGTCACCAAGTGAAGTAGCATGTAGGGAGAAAAGAAGAGGCCCCAAGAAAAGCCCTGAGGGATACCTATGGTTAGAAGAGGTGATCTGAAAAAGGATCTGCAAGGGAGAGAGAGGAAGGGTCAGATGGGCAGGAGGAGAATCAGGAGAGAGAAGAGAGTGTCAAGGGGGAGTGATCAGCAGTGTCCAAGGCTGCAGAGAGACCAAGGAGAATGAGGACTGAGAAAAGGCCACTGGATTTGGTAACTAAGAGATCATTGGTAACTTCGGGAGATCAGTTTCAGTGGAATGATGAGGTCAGAGGCCAAACTGTCAGTGGTTTAGAAGAGAGTAAGAGGAAAGGAAGTGGAGGCTCCAGCTGTAGACAGCCTGCATTTTCAGACTTTAGGCACAAAGTACAGAAGAGATACAGGATAACAGCAAGGATGGATGGATCAGGTGAGGTTTTTTTCAGGATGGAGGAGACATGGGCATATGGCATACTTGTGAGTGGTTGGGAAGGAGCCAACATACAGTAAGATCTGAGAGGGAGGCCTGAGGTCTGAAACAGCTAGAGAGTACAACAGTAAGTTAATCAGCAAGAAGTCAGTGGATCCCTAGGAAGCAGTGAGACACAGGGCTGTGTGGCTTCCTCTGGTGGTGTTTATCAGGAACAGAGAGGAGGGTGGCGGTGGAGGGGTACAGTTTGCCAAGGGCTGACTGGTAACAGAACATGCCTGATGGCAGGGATTCAAAAGCAGAGAAGACACTGTCGAGTTGATCTAATTCCCTCTAGCATCTTGACTTCAAATGAAAGAAAGTAAAGCCAAACAGGGATAATGGACTTGTCCATTGTGTCCCAAAGAGCCTCATGATCCTCACACTTCATCAGCGCCCTCTGACCGGTGGGCAGAGCCAAGGGCTCCTCCCCAAACTCCTCTTGGGGCCCTCAGGCCGCCCATCCCTTCCTTCTCCCTCAAGTCTCTAAGCCAGGTACCATCTTTCACCACCTGTTCCTCCTTTCCAGCTTCCTTCCCTCATTAGACTGTAAGCCCCTTGAGGGTCAGAACTATCTTTCTCTTTTTTTTGTAACCCCAGCACTTAGGACAGTGCCTGGCACATAGTAAGGGCTTACATGTTTATTGTCTAAATTAGAAAATCACTCTAAGCAATGCATGACAAAAGACAGTTGGCTATGTTGAATTTTAAAACGTCAAGTAGTTAACTCTTCCTATTTTGGGGTGAGTTTGCAGCATTTACACTTCTGAAGTTACTAAAGCTTAAAACTGCACTAAGCCTTTTGGGACACCCTGCATTACTGAGTTACTCTTGGTCTCCTCTAGTCTTGGCTTAGTAAAGGGAAAGATTGGGGACAGTTAGAAATAGACTGTTTTCTCTACTTGGAGACCTGGCTCAAGCAGTTACTACTGGCAGCATCCTCTGCCAGCCTCTGTCTCCACATCTTCAAAATGGGACTACGACTGCTTGTACTATGAACAAGCTTTTGTGAGCAAAGTGTTTGGTGCACCTTCAAGTACAAAGGGACAAGCCACCACTGAAGGCAGACAACTTTTACACCCGATGAAACCTTCAAGTTCAGGAGTGAGCAGAGAGGAGCCGTGAGAGCCTTGCCAGACAAGTGAGCAAATGTTACAAATGAAGAAAGGTCCCCGAGGCCAGGGGACAGCATCTCCAAAGGAGATCATTGGGTGGTCATGTCCTGCCACAACTGGTGGCAAAGTGGCACAGTGCCTGGAGTCAGAATCCCATCTCAGACACTGACTAGCTGGTGGACTGAGGGCAAGTCACTTAATCTGCTTGCCTCAGGCTCCTCATCCATAAAATGGGGATCATAACAGCATCTCCCTCCCAGAGTGGCTGTGAGGACAAGCTGACAAAATATCTGTAAAGTACTAGAGAATGCCAGCAGTTATTAGCAAATCCTCTCTCAAGACCTCAGTTTTCACTATTATAGAATGAGAGGGTTGAGTGAAATGCTCTATGAGGTCTTTCTTCCTCCACACAAGAGCCTCAGTTTTGGGGGGTTTGCACATGGAAAAGAAATGGCATTTCAAGAAGTTAATTCCCACTCACCTGGCAGGCCCGAGAAGTCAGGAACACAGGGGCCATTGTCTCTTCTTTGAGGAATTTCTTCCCAGGGAAGAGCAGCGTTCTCAGGAGGCACAGCTGGGAAGAAAATCAAACTATGAAGAGGGCTCTGGCTGGGTCCTCCAGTTCACAGACCCACAGACCCCACAAAAAAGAAACCCTCCTTCCTTCTCAGGGGAGCATCTGGGGTCTGCACTGCCCCCAACTCAATAAACATTTATTAAGCAGCTTCCACACAAAAAGGCACAAGCAATTACAAAGCCAAAAGAGATGCAGTGCTTTCAATAAATAGAAAAGCTAGTATTCTTCAGGGAGGCAGAGAATGTAAATAAATTAAAAAACCCTAACTGGCAGAGCAAGAGCACTGAGCTACCGTATTTCACCACATGATCATCGCAGATTTTATGACAAAATAACGTGGGGTACGACCATTATGTGAAGCTCTCTTTTAAAAATTTAAAAGTTTGTGCCAGTATTACTTAAAAATCATGTATTACCAAACTGTCTTTGGTGCAAGACTAGGATGCACAAAATGCTTGCGAACATGTTAAAACTGAATATGAAGTTTGCTGGTGCATGTGCAAGGCAAATGGATGAAAGCGTTCAACCTTGTCAGCGTAATCAGGTGGCAGCTTTTGGCATACGGTGGCTCTCCTTCGCACAGACAGATTGCATCGTCGCAGGAACCTCATGACCCAGCCACGACTCTCCTTAAACTGAGTGGTAAGAATGTTGTGTTTGCGCGCTACCTCCCGGGCCTTCATTTGCAACATCTCATATGATATTCGGTAGCCACTGTTACGCATTTCGTTGACGTACACAAACACTTCTTCATCGATTTGGGGAAACTTGCCCGTTTTAGGCCCTCTAAAAGCCCGTCTAGAAAGGTTCGTGTTTTCTAGCTTGTCTTTTTGTTTCCGCCAGTCTCGCACCAACTTTTCACTCACTGAAAACTGTCTTTCTGCAGCTCTGTTTCCATGCTGCTCAGCAAACACAATCACTTTCAGCTTGAAGCCCGCAGAATAATTCCTATATTTACCCATAGTCAGAAAGAAGTGCTTACGATGTTAACGTGCCGCTGGTAGACGAACCGTACCGTTTAGCCAGCACAGGAAGATGCCGGTCTTCCCAAAGCATGCGACTTACTCACGGCAGCTTCACCCGCTCCCCTCGAACCTCTGGCTCTTTTCTGGGTGCAGTACTGAAGCATTCTAAACAACCCACACACGTCAGCTTTCAGAAATATACTGACAAGGCCCCCATGCTGAGAATTCTAGGCTCCTGGCTCACAATGCTCCCGAGATAAATGCATATCCATACGCCACTGGTGAACACATTGCTGCTCTGCTTACCTTTTAAGCAGCATGGAGAACAGAATTATACCATGTGATGATTAGGCGATGAAAGGTTATATACCAATTTTTGGACTGAAGATTATGCAGTGGTGACGATTATGCAGCGAAATATGGTAAGCCTTTAAGGATTCTGAAACACAGGGAAACAGGAAGACCAGAGTTCAAATGGAGCCTCAGACACATACTGGCTGGGTGACCCTGTGCAGGCCACTTAACCCCTCTCTATCTCCCTGTCCTCACCTGTAAATGTGGGTAAAACAGCACCTGCCTCCCACAGCAGGAGTGAGGATACAACGAGATGATCATGGGAAAGCACAGCCCAACCTAGTAAGTGCTATGTAAATGTTAGCTATTATCATTATGGTTAAAGGGACAGAGAAGGCGAAAGAGGAAATGGGGGAGGGAGAGGGAGGGAATGGAGAGGAGGGAAGAGGAGGATTCCCGAGAATAGGTCACATGACCAAACAGCCGTCGTCAACGGTGGGGGGAGGGGCTGTCAAAGGGCCGGTATTAGAAGGGGAAGTCACACTTAGAGGGGGAGGGCCTCTCTCCAAAAGGCCAAAGGGAGGGGGAACTCAGCCTCCAGCCACACTCTAAATGCGCAGCCGCGGCAGGTGCAGGAGGCTCCCCGTGCCGTCCCCCGCCCCCGCAGGGCGGCGCCTGAAGGCTGCAGGGCGGGGCGGCTCCCTAAGGTAGGCTACGCCGCGCGAAGGACGCCAGGCCACGCCCCCACCGAGATGGCCAATGGACGCACCCGACTACGCGGGCGGGGCGGCTGCTGGGCGGCGCATGCTCCCTGCTCCCTCCCCTCCTCCCGCACATGCGCTTCAGCGGCAACCTCCCCTCCCCCCATCTTCCCTTGACCCAGACTCTAGGGCCCTACGTCTGACCTCCCGCCCCGCCCGGCCAAGTTTCTGGCTCCCCACTCACCCTGGCTTGGGATGCAAGCCTCGGGCTAGGTGGCAGCGGCTGAGCTCGGAGCCGAACCGAGGCGGACCGGGTGCCTGAGACTTGAAGCGAAGCCGAAAGCGGACGTGACGCACTAGTTGGAGGCTTTCTTCCGGTCTTCCCTCGGGCTCCACGGCGAGTGAGTCTAATCGCCGAGTGGCATCCTGGGAAACGTAGTCCAAGCTGGGCCGCCGTGCCTTGTGCGCTTGTCCTTAGCGGTAGGAACTGCGCCCCCTGGGGACTGTCTCTTGTTCTGCATCCGGGAGTTCGCCTTGCTGGCCTGGTCACCTTCCAGACCCTAGCCAACCTCAGAACACCTATAGGCTTGCGGGAACTAGACCCCAGAGGCCATCTGGGCCAACTTCATATTACAGATTGGGAAACTGAGACCCAGAGAGCTAGGTAGTACAGTAGATAGAGCAAAGGACTTAGGTTCAGATCCTGCCTCAGATACTTTTTGACCCTGGGCAAGTCACTTAACTTCTGCTTGCCTCAGTTTTCTGAACTATAAAATGGGGATAATAGCTCCCAGGGTTGACATAAAGATCACATATTTGTAAAGCACTAACCCTAAAACTCTGTATAAATGCTAGTTGTTATTGGGTAGCTAGGTGGTACACTGGATAGAGCCCTGCCCCTGAAAGCAGACCTGGGCTCAGACACTTACTAGCTGTGTGACCCTGGACAAGTTACTTCACCCTGTCCTTTCAGTTTCCTCATCTGTAAAATTATATGGGGAAGGAAATGACAGACTGCTCCAGCACCTGTGCTGAGAAACCCCAAGTGGGTGTGATATGTAAAAAGTTTCTGGCTAATTAATCATTTTATTAATCATGCTGGCAATAATTAATAAAAAGGGTCAGTGACACTCTCAAATGCCAAAGGCCCCGCACGGACCCTGTCTGCAGGCAAGGCAGCATCACCAGATTGGTTACAAGAGAAATGAACGTGCCCGTGGAACCAGAAGAATTCTCAGACCGTGCAGGGGTTTTCATGTTTGTGACAGTGGGAAAAGAGGAGGAAGAGAAAACGGAAAGGGGTGTGGCCCGGCAGGGGACAGGTGTGGGCAGGACCTTGGCCACAGCAGAAGCAGCATTCTTTGGATTCAGTCACAGGACCGCACTTGAGGACCTAGAGGGTTAGCAAGGCAGATAAAATAGCATAACTGGTTTTAAACAATTTTCCACCATACAATAATTTACCAATTTACACAATGTAAAACATTTGGAAACATAACAAACCGTAAACAATATTGCGTATTTGAAACTTGAAACAAACCCATTACTGATCAGTTGACCTCAATCCAGCTGAATGCATTTCTAAATTACCTTACATAGAAAATCAGGCATCTCATCACTAGTGCCATTGTATATTCATCACATCTAAAACCCCATATACAGTTATCAAGTATGAAGCAATCAGATCTAATTAAGGAACTAATAATAATTAACATTCATATACTGTTTGCCCTATGTCAAGCATTGTGTTAAGCACTATACAATGTGAAGCAGAGTGAGGCAAAAAGACATGAGGTAACTTGTTTAAGCTCACCCAGCTAACAAATGTCAGATTGATATATTCTCCCAATTTGTTTTAGTGCCAAATAGTGTAATAAATTCTGACTTATCTTCAACATCAAATTAGAAGAGATGACATTTCACTTAAAATGTGACCAGAAAGAATTCATTTACACCTGGATCTGTGTTCCAAATGGTATTACACAGAATCTTGAGTTATAATTTAAATTCTGAAGTGTTATATTTTACACAAATGCTAGTTATTCCAAACATTTCATATTATGGGGTCCATTATTTCCAGCAAATCCACTGCCAAAGATTGCAAATGTGGCAATCTGATACTAGGTTTCAATCTACCCCAATTATTCTACTTAAGAGCAGGTTTTAATCGAATTCAAATCCAGGTTCCACAATCTCAGAAAGAACCCATAGCTTATCAATTTACTTATAGCTCTCTCTGATTTCTTCCTATATACTTACAAGTCAAGCAGCAATTTTTGCTACTGTAGTTCCCACTAAAATAAGCATGTGACATTTCACACAACCTTCCTCTTAAAGCCAAAACTTTCTCAAACCTTTCTGTCAACACACTTAAAATGTCTTTTATAAAAAGACCCACACCTTCCTTATTACCTCCAGATTCTTCCCTTATGCCACACATTACTTTGTTCACTCCTTAAAGTCTCCTTAAAAATCTTAGTATACAATGGTATTAAACAAAACTAATGATCTATTAAAGAATTTTTCGGGGGGGGGGCTAGGCAGTTGGGTTAAGTGACTTGCCCAGGATCACACAGCTAGTAAGTGTCATGTCTGATTTGAACTCAGGTCCTCCTGACTCCAGTGCCAGTGCTCTATCCACTGCGCCACCTAGCTGCCCCAAACAATTTTATTCTTAAGGTGCAAATGTTGGCTATTAATATGTCTATAACATTTAAACTGTTGAATTACTAGCATTTCTGTTATTTGCTAAGAAATGGAAGCACCAAAAATCCTTTAAGATGCTTTTAGCACTTACAAAATTCTTTAACAGCTTTCAAAACTTGGTCTATTCAAGTAGTAGTCAGGTTCTGCTATATTATTCACAAAAAGTAGCAACAAAACATTTTCAAGTTACTTCAGAAATAAGCTCCTCTTGTATGGATAAGGAGCAAGACATTTCTTGAAATTCAAATACATAAATCTATGATAAAATGAATAGAAGTCTCACATAATTTATAGCAAAATTTCCAATTTCAAGGTACACACATAAATTCAAAAGTTACACATACATGGATCAATGCTTAATTTTAACTTGTATGATTCCCTACATACTAAACTAGATATTCCAATCAAACTCAATTATTTTTTGGTTGTGTTCTGGTACACACACACACACACACACACACACAACTTTCTCCTTTCTCATGATCCAGGAAAGTGTTAAGTGCCAGTCCAATTCTAAAGAGCAAGCCTTGCCACTTTCGCTGACACAGCCTCCAAGCCTGTTTCTCTATAATCAGTGAAATGACCTTCTTCCCTAGCTGTAAAACAAGAAACCAGTCATGGGGTGGGGGGTTGGGGGGGTTGGAAAAAATTTGACCACAGTTCAGAAATGCAAAGGAAAGAACAAAATCTTTCTAAAAACTTAAATTAGCTGACAAGGCACCGAGAAACATAGAAACACAAAAAGACCAGCAACTTAGCAGCGCTGAAAATCCCTTCTTAGCCTAGGCTGGAGATCTATAAATCAAGTTGAAATGCACGTCTTCACCAGTCCCATAGATCTGCAGGTTTCAGGGCCTTACAGCTGTAAAATTCGGCCCGCGGCAGTCCCTTTAGGGGGAACAAAGCCCTCTTTGGACATGGTATTGCCCATGGGGAACACAAACACGCAGAGACAGAAACACAAGCAACAACAACAAAACCCCCTCAACTTTTGTATTTCCAATTCATACACATATGTCTATATAGCTTATCTTCTTTATGTATTCAGTCGGGATCCCCAGGAGAAGAAGCGCAGTTAATTTCATTGTACCCTCTTTAACTGCAGCACCTTGGCCAGTAATCTGAATGTGGGGCCAAAAAATCAGTCTCCTTCAGCTACCCCAAAGGCTGGATGACCCTAACAGGGCACCTCCCAAAGCCCACTTTGGCCGAGCCTTCCAGCTAGAGACAACTAAACCCAATCCGGTCCTAGCAAAGATAGCCTTTATGCAAACATCCAGCCCACTATACAATTGTGCGTACCCTTTGACCCAGCAACAGCACTTCTAGGGCTGTATCCCAAAGAGATCATACAAATGGGAAAAGGACCCACATGCACAAAAATATTCATAGCAGCTCTTTTTGTGGTGGCAAAGAATTGGAAATTGAGAGGATGCCCATCAGCTGGGGAATGGCTGAGCAAGCTGTAGTATATGAATGTAATGGAATACTATTGTGCTATAAGAAGTGATGAGCAGGCAGACTTCAGAAAAACCTGGAAAGACTTGTATGGTCTGATGCTGAGTGAAGTGAGCAGACCCAGGAGTATGTTGTACACAGCAACAGCCACACTGTGCTATGACTGACTTGATGGATTTGGCTCTTCTCAGCAATACAAGGATCTAAGACAACTCCAAAAGACTCAGGATGGAAAATGCCATCCACATCCAGAGAAAGAACCACAGAGTCTGAATGCAGATGGAAGCAGACTATTTGCTCTCCTTTTCCTTTGGTTGTTTTGTTTTGTTGCTTCATTCTTGTGATTTCTGCCATCAGTTCTTAATATGAATGTATAAGTAGAGCCTATATCAGATTGCATGCCATCTTGGGGAGGGGGGAGGAGAAGGAGAGGGAGAAATTTTAAAACTCAAAATCTTATGGAAGTGAATGTTGAAAACTAAAAATAAATAAATAAATAGTTAAAAAATTAAAAATTAATGAGGATGAATATTCTAATGAGAGGTGGACCTGTTCGAATGAGAGGCTGGGGGTCTGATCACTCAGTCTTGGTCTATCTCTATACTCGTATCACTCCATTTTTGGTAATCTAGATAAAAGGATCTACCCCCTGCCCAGACCTGCTGGAGAGGCACACAATGGGCCGGAATTCACCTTAGATTAAATCCTTTCTAACTTCACTGGTTGTGTGACTGTCCCACCCAGGATGGAAGGACATCTACCCCAGGGATTTGGGTAATCTCATCCATCAACAATACCCACTAGAGACTGAAAAACTTACACGCTCCTGAAAAAAACTCCTGGTGCTAAGTCATTAATTAGCCAGTTTTGCTTTTTAGGGGATTCTTCTCCTCATTGGCTTTTTGGACCTCTTTTGCCATTTGGGTTAGGCTGTTTTTTAAGGTGTTATTTCTTCAGTATTTTTTTGGGTCTCCTTTAGCAAGCTGTTGACTTGTTTTTCATGATTTTCTTGCATCACTCTCATTTCTCTTCCCAGTTTTTCCTCTACTTCTCTTACTTGCTTCTCAAAATCCCTTTTAAGCTCCTCCAAGGCCTGGGACTGATTCATATTTTTGTTGGGAGGCTTTGGATGTAGGAGCTTTGACCCTGTGGTCTTCTTCTGGTTG